CCTAGATGGGATTCTGCTTTCTGAAGCAGCACATAGTATCTGTGCTCATGCAGTTTTGAGCATGTAAAAAATAATGGTCTCTAATTCATGAGCATGGATTCACTGAGAAGGGCTTCTCTTTCTGACAGTTCAATGTGGATGCTACATGAAATGCAGAAGTCTATATCAGACAGGGTTCCTTTCTTGTATCCCAGACTGGGCAGAGCTTTAGGTTTCCACCAAGAACCCGCCGCCCCCCACACTCACTGTTTTCATGCTGTTACTTACCAACTTGCAGCCGATGGGCAGTTTTAGCTTCTACTCCAGCATTAGCCCTGAAGTATCTTGGTATGAGGCCTGGAAGCAGTCTAGAAAAAAGAGAATCCAAAAGCTGCCTTTGAATTGCCAAGTTCCTCAATCTTACAAATTGATCCTTAGGTTCATCACCACTTAGAAATAAAACTGAACCAAACGGAAAGGAAAGCCAAGCAGCAGCTCCTAGCCACAATTGTTAGTGACAGTTGCTCTATCAAGCTCTCAAAGAGCAAATCACAGAAACTACCTTACGGTACGTTCTTGGTCCCCATTGCTGTGTTATGTGAGCCGCTTACAACATGCCTAAATGCTACAGCAGTTCTGTTTTCCCCCATTTTACAGAGGGAGAGCTGAGACCCCAATCATCAATAGTAGCAGGCACCTAGAGCTCGCATCTCTTTTCTAGTAATTACACAAAGTGGAAGAGCCATGAGCCCCACAGCTGCAAGACCCCTCCATAGCCAGTAACACCCTTCCCAGCAAACGATTCCCTCTCATTAAGTTATGCCCTCGTTGGCTGCATCAGGGAGGCCCAGAAACAAACAGGTGCTAGAGATCACAGTCCTCCAAACCATAGAGATGGTTCCTCCAGGTACATGGGCAGGGAAGGGTTGGGAAACAGCTGCTCCTGTTGTATCTGCTCTGTTACTAGGAGGAGGGTTACATGGATTATAAATCCATGCTTGTCAGCCCCAGCATGTTTTAGCAGAAGAGGACAGTAAACACAAGCTAATGTGTTAGTAGGAGTGAGAACAACACCCATGCTCCCTCCTTGTCCAAAAACAGGAAGCAGTCCCAAGGAGAGCGAGGGGCACATAGAGAATGACACTCCCTTGCAGCAGCCAGATGAGCTTCATCTATGGTGTGCACCAACCCTCATTTTTGCGTTAGCATGTTTTGAAATTGTGGCCCAAACAGAAGCAAATACTAACATGGGCTCCTTCCTGACCCCTTTCAGCATCTGAACAATCTGCTCTCTTATCTCCTTCTCTTTGTACCGCACCACGTATTGCCCAGATGCCTCCACGTTCTTCACGAGAGATGCATTCCTGGAGAAAAGAAGAATAAGTGAGGTATAGTTCAGAGCAGTGCACAAAAGTGGTCCAAGATAAAGGGCACTGTAAGCTTCTCCCTCCAGTGGTGGTCCATGGGTCCTATTTGGGAGGTCCCCATTGACTGCGACAGACATTTAATGGCTGGGAGAGCCTTCCCACTGGCTTGGACACTCTACAAGGCAGCTCTGGGCTGTCTTACTAGGGCCCTTGCAAGCCCTAGTGAAAGTCATTATTGGAGGCAGTGTTGGGAAGACGGCAGGGAATAATCTCTTGCCAGCCCTGAGGTAAGCACAGGACTGAGTCCTGAATATCTGTTAAGGGTTTGGAGATCCCCAAGGGAAAGGAGCCATTGTTGGTTGCGTTTTGGTAGCTCCTCAGCACTCCAGTCATGGGCAAGGGTCCTTGTGCTTCCTGCTATACACAGTCCCTGCCCCAAAGAGGCAAAAGATGACACGAGAGCAGGGGGGGAAGACAACCTTGATAAGCAATGGTCTCAGCACAGCTTGTTCTATTTTAACTAATTAAAATGTTGGCTGGATAATTAAAGGAGTTAATGGAAACTGGCTCCAGACTCTGAGGAAAAGTAGCTTGAAAAGGCAAAAGGAAACTGATTTTAATTGCATCTTTTAAGTCATGTTGGCTGTGAGGCGGTTGTTACCTTTGAACTGTCCAGTATAAGTGGACGTAGATAGCGGTTGATTTGGAGAGCTCTTCTATCATGATTTCCCGGCTCGCTGGACTGATGTGCCACAGCAAACTGGCATTGCTCTTTATTTTAGCAGTGACAATGTCCTCTGCGTTATAATTCACTATAAATTGCATGGCAGCCTTGGGCAGGGAGGAACAGAAAGGGTAAGACACTGAGACTGGAAACCGTTCAACAGGGCCCTATCCACACAGGCTTTACAATGCATTTAAACCTTAACTGTAGCCAAATTGCAGAGTCTAACCAGGTTAGGTTGGTGCTGAGGACAGGGCCAGGCAGGGTGAGAATACTCAAAAACCAGAATCCAGCCTCATAGCTAAGTTCCCAGATTTCTGCTTGGTACGGAGTAGGCGTGGGGTGGGGTTATCCAGTAAACAGCTTGCAACTAGATGCTAGGGGCCAATGCCAGCTTCCACAGAGGTGATGCCAGGCAGCTCAACAGCAGCATAAGATCAGCATAGTAATGTGAAGAGGAACCTTGCCAACTCATGTTGCCTGATCAGGCCCATCTCCTGCCCTTTGCCAGGAGCACAGGCCCTGGCAGCAGCACAGATGTGCTCACAGGGAGTTTGCTTCCAACAGAGATGTCCTCTGCTGCAAGTTTGCAGCTGGTTCAGTTTGTTTGAGCCACCTGATAAGCACAAAAAGGGCTGCAACTGGGTGTGAGAATCTGGCCAGCTGAGTTGTGTAGGAGCAGGATCGAGACCATTAATTTGTGCAAACAGTGTTAGAAAACCATTTAACTTGCAATCGGGCGTAACACTGCAATGGAAGAGCGCAACGCTTGATGGATCGGGTTAGGATCAGCCCAGCAGTGCCTCCCACAAGGAGAGGTGCTGAGAGGGAGGACTATAACTCAGCTGTCTACAGGCAGAAAGCAGGCTGCCTGGGGGATTGTTAGGCTCTGGGCCCAGCACGCCTAGTCTGGAGAGACTTTCCCAGGACATGCTGCTGTGGCTTCAAATTGCTAGCATTCCCCCTGAAGCAAAGCCCTACTGGAACACCCCACCAGCCTATTCCACGATTTGCAGGTGTTGCTGAAATCCCTCTGTCATCAAGACCTTGGTTGGATATCTTCCCTTTCCAGGCAGGTGATGTAGCCACCCAAAGCACTGCGACCCAGGTGAAGAAATCCTCCTGGGCAGGGTGGGAGGAAATGCGGGTTCTCCGTATTCAACGAGCTGCTTGGGTGCCACTTACCGGGTGAAAGGCGTACTGAGCGGTCAGGTCCGTATATGCTGCTTGAGTGAAAGGGATCAGATTCCTCTGCTGGGCACTCATGGTGAACAATGGCTAGGAGAGAGTGAGAGGGTGAATCGCAGATATTTATGGGGCTCTCCGTGCTGCTGGGGACCCCTCCACATCCAAGACAGTATCTCCCAATACCAGGTATGGAGCAGGAACCTAA